GGCTAGACAAAAATTTCATCACAGCTTGAAAGAGCATCACAAAATTAGTAATATTCCGAAGTTTCGTTGCGAAATGTTGTAAAATGCGGATAATATAGCCCTGCGAAATTGGCAATTTTCAGTCATTTTGTATTACAAACGGGAAATTGATGCCCCAACACCCGATTGGGCTGTCAATTTCCCGTGCGTAATACAAAATGACTGAAAAATGGCAAACTTCGCAAGGCTATATTATCCGCATTTTACAACATTTCGCAACGAAACTTTGAAATGTGATGAAATTTTTGTCTAGATCAAAATTTTAGTTATAAGGGGAAAGGTCCATTGAGTTATGACACCGCCATTCATCAATAATAACTCAGAGGACTTATGACCATAGATAAACGACCAAGGGGGGGGGGGACCTGAACTGTTCAATTTGGTCGGATGAAAGTCACCTGGATGCAGGAGCATAGGAAACAGGGGATGGCCGCGCCCCCAATATTTCATAAAGGGGGCCCGGAATAGCCTTCGGCCGCCGCAACATAACTGAATTTAAAAAAAAGGCGCTAGAATCACCCAAAGTCATTGTTTTGACCATCATTACTCACGCATAGCATAGACGGCTCACAAATTATGATAAAAGAATGAATGAAAAGGCCTAAAGAAAGATATAGAGAAAAAAATTTTCCCGCCCAACGCCCTGACTCTTCCACAGCCCCTCATCCGTTATTCCCATTAAGCACCGCGCTCCCATTGTTTTTTCACTGATCTCTATTCCCAACTGAAGCGACGAGAGACGATGCAGCCCAACGCCAACCATGGCGACTTTTGCCCTTAAATTTATTAAGCTTTCCACGCCCCTAACTCAATGAAGTACATGCATTGTTTTATACTGAACACACGAAAAAAACAACAAAATGGCAGAAAAACATTGCGTAATAGGTTACGGCAGCTTCACATGAACAGCCCCCCCCCCCAAGCTACACGTTATATAGATCCCGACGCAAACAATTGGCTAATACACATCACTCACGATTCCGGAATTTTCTCATTCCAAATATCCCTTATAATCCAACATTTTTCCGCGCATAATTATTCCATTTGTTTGAACAATACGTCGGGTAATGTTGAACGATGTTGGCATGGTTGGAATAGGCTCAATTACTTGGTTATTCACTTATTCTTTGAAAGGGACATATCGCATGCCTGCAACTGTATACAGCTAATTCAAGAAATGTTGTCCTTACTTTCACAATGAAATGTATTTACCCCAAGAACAAACAAACACCATTTAGAATTTGGAATTTTTATTAATTTTTAAAATTTCAGCGATTTTTCGGTCCCGCGCCGTCGCGCAGAAAATCCTCTGCCTATATCAGGCATAAAATTTAGCAGAATTCAAATACATATAATTTTAAAAGTATTCAACCAAATTTTATGATTTTTTCACCCACCAACGTGAAAATTATTCTACTTTGAAACTTGTCTTGTTTTATGATGCTTTTACAGAACGATTATGACAAACTTTAGCGATAACAAGCACCAGGTCTAAATACGGCTTTGTACACAAATCAAATTCGATTTTAAATTTCTCAAAAGTGGCACCTAACTGGATTCAGTGACTAATATGGTTAAAAAAATGGAAGTTTGAAGTACCAATATCCATAATAAAACTTGTTACCAACCGCGATTTGAAGACTCGACAGCCTCTGAAATTTGATACAATTTGGCTATTTTGTTTAGCTTGAGACGTCAGAGCTTCCAGTCACTTGCAAAATGCGCTGTTGTTCCGTTTTTTTACACAATCCGTTAATATCATCGTAGTTAAGCGATTTTTCTGTGTTCATGAACATCACAAGTGGTTTAATACAAAAATATTTCGATAGATGCGGCGAGGTACAGTACTGTCCAGAAATAACCTAACAGTGCGGTTGCGGTTAGGTTGCGTTAGGTCGAAGTTAGGTCGCGGTTAGGTCGAAGTTAGGTCGCGGTTAGGTCGAGGTTAGGTCGCGGTTAAGTCGCGGTTAGGTCGCGGTTAGGTCGCGGTTAGGTCGCGGTTAGGTTGAGGTTAGGTTGAGGTTAGGTTGAGGTTAGGTTGAGGTTAGGTTGAGGTTGAGGTTCGGTCGCGGTTAGGTTGAGGTTAGGTTGAGGTTAGGTTGAGGTTAGGTCGAGTATGACCGATTTAAACCGCAAATTGACAATACCTTGACTGCATGTGCAGAAGTGGCGGGTACAAGAGTTTATAAACTGTAACTATAGGTCTTCAAAAGATGTGAGCGGATCTCGGATTGTAAACTCTTCGAAAATGCTGTTTTTAAACTAAAATAAGCCTGTAATTAAACCTTTCAATAAACCGGAACATAATTAAGCTCCGTGAAATAAATTAATAAACATAATTGATGAAATCTTTGATGAAATCTTTGATGATCCAAACGATCTATTAGACTGTTGGTACTCTCACTTTATGAAAATTTTGGATAGGCATGCACCTTTAATAAAACGTAGAGTCAGAAATAATAAACTGCCGGGGTGGTTTAATTCTGAAGTACGTTGCTTTAGCCGCAAAAGAGACTTTTTCTTAAAGCAATTTCTAAAAATCAAAAACTCTGACACATGGTGTACCTACAAAAAATGGAGAAATAGAACTGTTCATATTATTAAAAAGTCAAAAGAGGACTACTATAAGAACCTCCTGACTGATAATGTACATAATCCACGACAATTATGGAAAATTCTAAAAGATATCTTGCCGACCAATGGCACTGTCTCCCAAATAACACTTAACATTAATGGCAAGGAAATCAGTGATCCTATCGAGGTTGGCGATCTCTTTAATGAATATTTCTCCTCTATTGCAGACAACTTTGATATCAGTTTACTAAACAACCCAATTAATACTCATTTACCAATTGCAACAAATCATATTAAGTTTACAATTCCACTGATAACAATCGATGACATACTAAATATTGCAGCCGAATTAGACCAGAACAAGTCAACCGGTCTTGATGGTATTCCTGCATGCCTACTTCATCAAGTCCTCGATTCATTCCATTGCACCCATAATACTTCGCATTTGTAATATGAGCATTGAAAATGGCGTCTTTCCCAACATGTGGAAGAAAGCTAGACTGATTCCAATCTATAAAGCTGAAACACGTACTTAGAAAACAATTACAGGCCCATTTCTATATTACCGATTCTATCTAAACTCCTCGAACGACATGTTGCCAACTCATATGTAAAATTCCTCACAGAAAATGATATTCTATCCGTTGCCAGCATGGTTTTCGAGCCCATCACTCTTGTGAATCTACTCTAATATTGATCTGTGAACACCTTCTCGATAACATTGAGCAAGGTCTAATTAATGGTATAGCTCTAATTGACCTCTCCAAAGCGTTTGACCTGGTCGATCATAGATTGCTACTGCAGAAATTAGAACAATATGGCATTACTCCAATAGCTCTAAAATGGTTTAAATCGTATCTAAATGATCGTTAACAAGTAGTACAAATTGCATCATCCCTATCCAACCCAGCTCTGATAAAGTCTGGTGTGCCTCAAGGATCTATACTAGGACCAATTCTCTTTCTTATCTTTATTAACGATTTACCCAGTTACTTTGGAAGTTCTAAGCCTTTTTTATTTGCCGATGACTCTACACTAATATCCTCCGGATCGGACCTTCACGAATTTAGTGTCACTCTAAAGTCAGATATGACCTCAGTGTCCCGTTGGACTAACCATAACAAAATGTCTCTTAATCCTGGCAAGACAAAAATAATGAAAATATATTCCCAATCCAAATTCCCTGATCTTAGTCCAATAACCATTGAAGTCAATAACAATAATGTTAAGGATATTACATCCGCCATTTTACTTGGAGTTACATTAGACCAACATCTGAAATGAGATAAGCAAATTAATACCATCTACAATATAATCAATTCTAGACTTTACCTGCTCAAACGTATACGTAGCTATCTCACTCTTCAATCCCGTATTAAATTATATTACGCACTAATCTACCCACACTTGCTATATTGTAGCACAGTCTGGGGCAATGCTAATAACGATCTAATTACGTGCCTACTAAAACTACAGAAACGTGCAGCGAGACTAATTCTTGAGCAGTCAACTGAAGTGCCTTCAAATTTGCTTTTCCGTAAACTCAACTGGATACCTATTTTTAATTTGATCAAAATGAGAAAAATATTATTGGTATTCAATACTTTAAAAACATCTTGGCCGCCGGATCTTCGTAAATTGTTTGTCTTTGTTCGCGACTCTCGTCCAATTCCAACTAGATCGTCTATTACAGACTTAAAAGTTCCATCAGTTAAGACTACGCAAGCAAAATCCAAAATTTCCTTCAGTGGTGCAAGTTTATTTAATTCTTTACCTTCCGAATTAAAAGATATTGAAAATCACTCAATTTATTCCTATAAAAAGAAGCTCAAACCTACTTTATTCAATTGAATTATGAAGTAGATCACGTTAATAAATTCCGCTGCATCGATTGTAAGCATATTACTCATTGTCAATGTTACTCTCAATATTTTTCTTTTTATATATTACTATTAGATATCGAGGGCCATTGGGAAGAATACTATGTTAAGTAATCAATGTAATCCCTCATTAAATAAAGTTTTATTATTATTATTATTATTATTATTAAAGTCACAACCTCTATATATTACGTATATTATACTGTAGATATAGATATAGGATTTCCGTGATTTGCCAATCGTAATTAAACTGCTATTAAATGTAGAAAAAATGGCGGAATTATATTCGATATTGTATTCGATATAGGCCTGCGGTAGTAAATCCGGCTAAAGCGCAGTGATTCTGATAATTCCGATTTTACTAATCTCTAGTTTTGTAGCGAAAAGCATATATTTTCACGCGGTAGTAAATCTATTAAAGAGTAATTATTAAAAGGTCAGTGATTTTGATTCTATACTTCTATACAAGACTATAGTAATCTGGTTCTACTATCAAATACCATGCAATTAGATCACTCATGTAGTTGCCGTGTAGCTGCATGAAGACATTCTATGACTGAGTCATACAGACTTCTGGGTAGTAGATCTAAAAGCGCATTGATTTTCATTTTAGCAAGCATTATTAATTCCACCGTTCAAATATATTACATTCAGTCGCGCGCTGCCACTGGATGATTGGAAAACGTTTATGGAAAAACATTGGACCTGATTTATAGTTATATAGACAAATATTACACAAATATAAACGTTTATTCAAATGAAAAATGCGCGATAATAATGACTAACAGTAACAATGGGTTTGAATATCAGGTATGCTAATGTATAAGTGTCAGAGCTTGAGCATCTGATGAGTCATCGACTTCGCGTTTTCCAGCCAATTTATATGTTTCACTAAGCCTCAGTCAAATATGCTTTTAATAAACGAAAATCAGTTTTAATCTTAAGGACAGAACCTGTTAGGAACATACAGTATATTTATAAATACCAGCCGACTTCCGTGATTTGCCAATCGGTAAACTGCTACTAGAGGCTGAAATAATACATTCGATACTGTATTCGTTACGCGGTAATATATGTAAAGCGCATACAGTGACTTGAATTCTAGTTTACTAATCTGAAATTTTCGATTCTACTAATCTTTAGTTTTGTAGCGAAAAACATATACACGCTAACACGCGGTAGTAAATACTATAGTAATCTGGTGCTACCAAGTACCAATTAGATTACTGTAGTTGTTGTGTATAGCGGAAAACCTTCTATAGATATACGATAATGAGCCATACGACTATTCGGTAGTAAATCTAAAGGCGCATTGATTTTGATATTAGAAAGCCGATTGTTAATTCCACATTTCAAATATATTACACTCAGTCGCGTGCTGCCACAGGATGATTATAATTATATGACATAAGTAGTTCAAATGTCGAAAAAAAGCATGCATTTTATTAAAATACTCAGTATCATAACGGTAATACCCATCTACGACTCTTAATTTTATCCATCTATGTTTATGTCCCATGTAACCGCACAACTCATTATATGGACTTATAAACAGTATATCATACCTTTTTCCAAGATCCAAACGCGCGATCTGCAGTGGACCGATTTCGTTGACGAACAAGGTTATATAGGCTACTCACTACATTATCGCTACAAATTCGTAAATGCGCCTCATTGACCATATGATTAGTTAAGGTTTATGAATTATGATCGTTTCATATCCGCCAAATTGCACTCTCGTCGTTTGGTCACGATGCTCAAGCTTGGTTGTTACGTATCCATATCGAAAGCATCGAATTTTTATTTTCAAAGTTTGACATACTCTCGCTAATAGTTTATGGGAAAACATTGGACAAAATGTTCTCTCCCGATTTATAGTCATATAGAGAAACATTACACAAATATAAACGTTTATTCATAATAATGACTAACCGTAACAATGGGTTTGAATATCAGACATGGTAATTTTCAGTGCCAGAGTCTAAGTATCTGATGAGTCATCGACATCGCGTTTTCAGCCAATTTATGTTTCACTCAGTCTCAGCCACATATGTTTTTATAAAACGAAAACGAGTTTAAAGGTAATTGAGTTGCACGTTGAAACACAAAATAATAATGACTTTATATGTGTAATTGAAAAGTTTTCCTCAATAAAAATTAACTTTTACTGTTGCTACTACCAAAATAAATTTTCATTGACATTGACAAACAGTATTGTAATGTGCGGCCAATATTATATACTGCTGCATATATGCTAAATAAAAACGGCAACACTTTTCTTAATAATATCGCAGTATTTCTTTTTCTCAAATTTTTGTCGACTCTGTTTTCCAAAGCCGTTGCTACGGGTTGCGTTAATAGTCGACTACTTGGGAATTTCCGCCGACAGGCACGACACGCGTCTTACACTCATCGCTTTTCAAAACAGCAAAATAGCGGGCAAAAGCAGTCAATACAATATGTATAGGGTCTGTCTGTCTGTCTGTCTGTCTGTCTGTCTGTCTGTCTGTCTGTCTGTCTGTCTGTCTGTCTGTCTGTCTGTCTGTCTGTCTGTCTGTCTGTCTGTCTGTCTGTCTGTCTGTCTGTCTGTCTGTCTGTCTGTCTGTCTGTCTCTCTGTCTGTCTCTCTGTCTGTCTCTCTGTCTGTCTCTCTGTCTCTCTGTAAGACGTGTTTGAAGTAGCTCTGCAAAAATTATTTTATTTTTTTCTTCAACACAACAAAGTGTACTTAAATAGTTAAAGTTTTCAAAGTAATATGAACAGGTATCTTGATTACGACGAAGAAAATGATTTCTTCACCTGGGGTGGAACAGCGAATGATTTGAAATGCTTTGTGAACTCGGTTCTGGAAATTGACGAAGCAAACGAAGATGGCGAACTCAAAGAAGACAAAAAACACAATGCTGTTACGTACAAGTTAACGAATTGCTCGATAAGATTTTATTCCACAACGAATAAACTGGTCTTATTTGGCGCGAATCAAGCCGTGTTGTTAGAAAAACTCGGCAATATTTACAGAGAAAATAAAGATTTTCAACCCCACCCTTCTTCCCCGACTACGCAAAATAATGGCGGCAACGTCGAAGGAAATCACATTGATCATGAAGTCATTCAATCCTCAGATGTTATTAATGCAACGTCTCACAGTAACGAAGCTTCGCTACTTGTTCTTGGTTCTTCTGACGAGTCTGGAGAAGCAAACTTAATTCCAACAATTGATATCTGCAACGAAGTTATGACTATTAGTGATACAAAAGACAATTATAGTGTGATCCTAAAGGAACTGTCTTTAATAAAATCAGAAATGCGTGAGATCAAGGAAAAGTGTTTACAAAATAACATGAACAACGAGACACAGTCCTTTGACTCGCTTGAAAAAAGCAATAGTGATCTACTACACTGCCGCATGGAAAACAGAGACTTAAAAACAAAAATAAAAATACAAGATGAATATGTAAGACGACTTGAAGAGGAGAGAGCAAGTCTTGTGACAACAATTAACTTGCTCATGCGAGACCAAAGTGCTTCCGTTGCTGAAAAACTTCCAAGTAATTGCGAAATTCAACGCGTGAACAACGACGAAGATAAAAACAAGAAAAATAAGAAAAAGAAAAGCAACAAGGACAAACAAACCATTCCTACTGCTGATAAAGGAAAAGTCCAACAAGACAAATCGCAGGACGACGAAAATTCAATCTCTACGGAAACCGGTGTTGGTCCTAACGACGAGAATCGAACAAATACAGTCATAATGGGCGACTCGATTATTTCCAAATTGGCTGGATGGAAAATGTCTGACAAATCGAACAGAACAACTATTCGTTCATTCCCCGGGTCTAGAGTTGAGGACATGGCTGATTACGTCAAACCAACACTCAAGTGGAAACCAGACAATATCATTCTGCATACTGGTACAAACAACCTGCGTACTGATGAACCACTCGATGTAGCCGAGAAAATTGTAAAGATCTGTGAACAGATCGAACAACGATCACCAAAAACTACAGTGGCTATATCGGAATTAACTGCCCGGCACGATTCCATTGAACTTGATCAAAAGCGGAGAGAGGTTAATAAAATCATCCATTCATTCGCCAAATCCCGAAACTGGAAAATAATTTCGCATGAAAATATAGACTCGAACTGTCTAAACAAAAGGAAATTACATCTTAATCCGCGTGGAACAATCAGCTTAGCAAAAAATTTTAAAAACTATTTGTCTAATTTAAATAATTGAGATAGAGATAGAAGCGATGATGTTTATATGGCTGACAAACTTGATCTCCCACAGGTAAGAGGTTTTAAAATGGTCTCATTAAATATAGCCAGTTTACCATTACACATTGACGAATTTCGAACATGGCTTGACAACAAGAACATAGACGTAATAGCACTTAACGAAACAAGACTGGACAACACTTTGTCCACAAACCAACTTAAAATAAACAACTATGAACTTGTTAGAAAAGACCGAAATCGCTATGGGGGAGGAGTATGTATATATATAAAAAGTCATATCAATTATAGAGTTCGACATGATTTAATTAATCCAGATATTGAAGCTATAATTATCGAAATTATAAAACCAAACAGCAAACCATTTGCGATTGTTGCATCGTATAGGCCACCGGAATTTTCTCCTGAGTTATTCTTTGACCAAATGACGACTATAATCAAACAGCTTGAGCACGAGTCAAAAGATATATTTATATTCGGTGATTTAAACTGTGACTTATTAAGCGACAGGTCTCACAGGGCAACTTCGCTTTTAAATTCATTTGCGCAAATTTATCAGCTTCAGCAACTTATTGACGAACCTACAAGATGCAGTGCAAGCACCAGAACATTAATTGATGTTGTTTACACAAATTGTCCTAGTAAAGTGGCTGCATCTGGTGTTATACGCTTAGGAATAAGTGACCATGATCTTGTTTATGCCATACGGAAAGTAGCTATAAAGCCTATGATGAACAAACGTATGCATAAAGTGGTCAATATAAGAAATATGAAAAATTTTAATGTTGATAGCTTTATAAATGACCTAAGTAATCTTCCCTGGTCAAATTTAGATTGTCTTTTAAATGTTAACGACCGGTGGGATTTATGGAAAAATATATTCATGACTGTAGTAGATAAACATGCGCCATTCAAAAGCAAGCGAGTACGAAATAAAAACAATCCTTGGATGACTCCTGAAATAAAAACACTTTTGATAAATCGTGACAAACTAAAAAGAAAAGCGGTGATTTCTAATGATACAGATAATTGGCTTCAATTTAAACTTGCCCGAAATAAGTGTAATAATATGCTGAAAGAAGCAAAAAGAGATTACTATCACCGGTTGATTGCAGTCAACAAAGGAAATACCAAAGAAATTTGGAATACAATAAATGAGCTAATGTCCCGAAGCTCGAAATCTCAAAATATTTCTTCTCTTTTAATAAACAAAAAAGTAGTCACAAACAATACTGAAATAGCTGAATGTTTAAACCAATATTTTGCTGAAATAGGGTCCAAATTAACAAACAACGTATCACCATCTACCAATCGCAAAGCTTTTCATCATTATGTGCAACCAGCTGCCACTGGAACGATGTTTATATTACGCCCAACTACTTCGGAAGAAGTTATTAAATTAATTTCCTCAATATCTGATAAGAAAGCTACAGGTCTAGATCAAATTCCGAGTAAATTACTTAAACTCTCTGCACCTATAGTTTCGAAATCATTTTGTGATATTTTTAATTTATCCATTCAAACAGCAATATTCCCTGATGACTGGAAATTGGCAAAAGTATCCCCTATATACAAAGGCGATGCAAAAGATAATGTAGGGAATTACAGACCAATTTCAGTTTTAAGTGCAATTTCTAAGGTTTTCGAGCGTATTGTTTTTGATCAGCTTTACACCTATTTCAATGAAAACAATCTGTTACACAAGAATCAATCAGGCTTTAGGAAGTGCCACTCTACTATGACTGCTCTAATAGATGCCACTATTGAATGGCTTACAAACATGGACCAGGGAAAGCTTAATGCGGTTGTTTATATTGATCTAGCGAAGGCATTTGACACAATAAGTCACGAGATATTACTTGAGAAACTCCACATTTACGGGGTTGATGCAAATAGTTTATCCTGGTTTCAATCCTATTTACAAGATCGCAAACAAAAATGTTATGTGAATGACGTTCTATCTGGCGAACGTACCATTAATTGTGGTGTGCCTCAGGGGTCAATTCTTGGACCGTTATTGTTTCTCATATATATAAACGATCTTCCTCAGTGTTTAAAACATTCTACAGCTCGAATGTACGCTGACGATACAAACATAACAACGACAGGAACATCTATTCGAGAAATAGTAACACATGCTAATGATGACTTAAATAATATAAGTGACTGGCTGAAAGCAAACAAACTCAGCCTTAACGTGACTAAAACTGAGTATATGTTCATTGGATCAGATCAAAATCTTGACAAGTTAAGAGATGTACCACTACTATTTCTTGAAAACAAAGCGATAAAAAGGGTCAAAGCAACCAAGTCATTAGGGGTACATATTGATGAAAGACTAACATGGCATGAACATATTCAAAATATTTCAAAAAAAGTAGGTGCTGGAATTTCAGGTTTACGGCGGGTAAGGGAGGTTGTCCCATTATCGACATTGGTAACAATTTATAACTCATTAATACAACCATTATTTGATTACTGCGATGTTGTTTGGGACAGCCTTCCTGCTGCTGGTGCCAGCATTCTACAAAAGTTGCAAAATCGTGCCGCTAGAGTTATTACTCATCAAGGTTATGATGTCAGATCCAATGAAATAAGGAAAACACTAAACTGGGAAACTCTTGCAGAAATGCGAGACACACACAAATTAACTATGATGTATAAGATAGTAAACAATTTGGCACCAAAGTATTTAAGAGACCATTTTGAAATGTCTGCCATAGATAATTTTTATACATTAAGAAATAGAAAATTATGCCTTGTACTACCAAAGCCTCAAACTGAATATTTAAAGAAGAGCTTTGCATTTTCAGGGGTAAAATTGTGGAATACTTTACCTGAAGATGTAAAATGCAGCAACAGTTTGAGTCAGTTTAAAAAAGGAGCAATAATCACATCATCAGCTTCTAGCTAAATATTGTATATGTATTCGGCTTTCTTGTAAAGCAGTGCTATGCACTGAAGAATTTCCGAATTTAAATCTCTCTCTCTCTCTCTCTCTCTCTGTCTGTCTGTCTGTCTGTCTGTCTGTCTGTCTGTCTGTCTGTCTGTCTGTCTGTCTGTCTGTCTGTCTGTCTGTCTCTCTCTCTCTCTCTCTCTCTCTCTCTCTCTCTCTCTCTCTCTCTCTCTCTCTCTGTTAAACTTTGTCTGTTGATTTTTTTGAAAAAAATAGACTAGATATTATTTGTGCACTATGTGTGCTGTAACTTTATTAATTAAATGCAAGTTAATGACAAAAAAATCAAACATGCATTCATTAAAGTTGGACTAACCCCAAATAGAATTTTTGGTTTGCGTGATATTTGGCTCACAATTCTAAGAAGTAATGTGATGTATCTTTATAGTAAAAATTCATCTATGATGACATCATATTCGGAAACTTTGACAGTGAAAAGAAGGGATTTTTTATTATAGAGATAACATTTCTTCGGACGAATGTCACAGATATTGCACATACCAAAAATCATATTTGTGGTTAGCCGTGCTTTGAAATTCTATTTCTTATTTCTCATCTTCCAAATATTCATATCCTTTGAAGACATCATCTTTCCCTTTAAAATCTGTAGATAGTTTGATAAACAGAACACAATGGTATTATTTCATCTCTTTTACAACCATGAGCTAATCTGGTGAATCACATGTATGCCACTGATATAAAGACCTAAAAGTAGAGATAATTATACCTAAGACTTTAATAATGTATTACTTGCCTCCATGAGGCAAACTAGCAATCTGCTACAGCTTACTCAAGACACAGTAATCTGTGCAGCTCAAGTTTGCCTTGACATTAGGGAGCGGTCATAAAGTAAGTGCTACCCCGGGGCGGAGGATATTTTTAATTTTGTGAAAAGAATTTCATACCCCCACAAAATTGTCGGATAATATTTGGTACCCCATCAAGAGAATAGTCTGAATGTTTCATACTCCATCATTAAACGATAAGTTTACCGGGGTTTATTCATGTTGATATGACCTGGGGTGTGCTGATAGGGCTCAGAAATTCTGTTGACTAATTGCCATTATCCTATAAGTTTTATTTTTAGTAAGTTTTATCTTTCTTCAACTTAAAAATAACAAAAAAGTAACATTCAATGGGGCCAAAAAGCTGGTTTTTGGACCCATTGAATACAACCGCCGGTCAAAAAATGGCGAATATTGCTAATATTTTGCCCATTTTGGTTATTTTTATGTAAAGAGATAAAAACATTTTGGATGTGATATTTTTGGGTCTTTTACATTCAAAAAGACATACTTTTACGTTATGGCATACTTCAGATGTCCATAAAGACCACCATTTTCTTTAAAAGCTGGCATTTCTGAACCATGTGAAAAGACATACAACTGAAACTGACCTGTCTCCCCATATAAACAATCCAAATGAACAATCCATTGTTGTCATATTGTTCCAGTGGAATAGTCATGTCAATAACATAGTGACAAAAAGTTCCAAAAGGATTTACCTTTTAGTGCAGCTGAAACGAGCAAAAGTCGCGATTCAAGATATTTTACAATTCTATACCGTATGTATCCGCCCCATTCTGGAATACGCTTCCACTGTTTTCCACTACTCTTTACCTAAATACTTGAGTGATGAAATTGAACGAGTACAAAAACGGGTTCTTCGAATTGTATATCCGAACTTACATTACGAAGATGCATTGATGGAAGCTAGGATGGAGTCATTGTACGCTAGAAGGCAAATTGCCTACAATAAACTTTTTAATCAAATTTTAAATAACCCGAACCATAAACTTCATAATTTAATCCCTGAAATAAATACTTCATTAAATTACCAATTACGAGCCAACAAGAAGATACATGTTCCGAAATTCTATACTGAACGTTTTAAGAATTCGTGTGTCATCGCTAGTTGTTTAGACATAAATAATCGTAATTCAACAAATTAGTGTTAGTTTTAATATTTATAATCTTCTTAGTAAGCCATAGCATAGGTTGTAATTTTTTAAATGTAATATTATTTGTATTTAGTCTTATTTATATTGTAATCGCTTACCAATTCAGTATTTGTACTGCAAAAAGTGAATTATTAAACAATCTATCTATCTAAATCGCATAATATTTGCAAATGCGCATTCTGCTGAAACTCTAGCTCTTTTTGGTGGCATAACTTCTTTAGTATAAACCGAAGAAACAATGAAGTCGACCAAGAATAGTTTGTAGAAAAAATACGAAATGGCGACCATGTTTTTATACCAGGCCAATATACTATGTGTTACACGAAGTGTAACACAGGTGCCTACGAGCCTGCAGTATAGTTTTGACTAAATTGGTTTCATATTCTGCAATATAAATATGGTAATGTTTGGTGCTTGCTCAACCTTGGTACAAAGAAAAGGTACAAAGAAATATGTGTATTTGTATATATAAAAATATTATAAATAAGTATTTTATATTAATATATAAGTACTTTATAATATACTATACTATATATTATACTATATTTTACTATTTTATATAATATATTATGGATATTTTACGATGTGATACGTCCAGTAACCATAGGCAGCCCAATGTTATGGTTGCCTGCCTGCGCGCGGGCGCAACCATTACATTAGACTTGCTCCAAGTCTCTCTTTCATTGTCATATCGATCCACTATAGTGTACATATTACATGACGCATGTATAGCATAGTGGATCGATACTATATGACAATGAAAGAGGTAGACTTGGAGCAAGTCTACCATAACATTGGGCTGCCTATGGGATAACTTTGAATTTTCAGAAAAGCAAATGGTTCGTTTGTTCAGGAATGACGGATAAATATTTATTTGGGTGCGCTGTGATTACACTGTGTATTAAATATACGGTACAGTAGTCTCTCAATAGTCTCTCTCAGCCATTCTTTGAATAATATTTGTCATCATGTACTCCTCCACACAAGTTCATGAAGAGGAATAAAATCACAACAGCAACTGCAAGGGAGACCGACATGAGCAACGGTTAAATATTTTATGAGACACTGATGGCACTGATGTATGAAAAATTATTTGGACCATGAACGGAGCCGTAGTAATATTAAACTGTATTAACACAATTTTTGTATTGAAACAAACAAATTTTGTTTCATACCCCCTCTTAAAGTGATAAATTTATTTCATACCCCATTCAGATCCCTGAAAAAAATTTCATACCCCATCCCAATATCCTCCGCCCCGGGGTAGCACTTACTTTATGACCGCTCCCTTAGCAAGGTGCATTAACCTATTCCTATAATAAATAGGAACTTTTATAAATTACTTCCCCTTTGAATCAGCTTATACCACATGTTTGTGCAACACAAGTTTTCAAATGATCAGATCAAGAGCAATTGAGGCAAACAGAATCATGCATATTTTGTGAATGGCCAAATCAAACCGGTTATCCCTTGTCTATATCAAATTTTATAGTGTTTTTCAATAGTTAAGCTATTAGTATTGATTATTGAATCCAAAATACACATAATTTTTCGTTTGTTTACTTGCAGTCGCAGAATTAATTGCGGTATTAATTGCCAATAATAATAATAATTATTTACAAATAGAAAATATTCGATTCACTTACCAAGAACTAACACGATTATGCCCGTTCCATCTATAAATAATTTCTTTACATCCCTGCTATATTCTTCTAGCTTTCAAAACGTATTCTTCAGTGTATGCCAACTCTGTCATGCTCGGCAATGTTTGACGACATTTTGGAAGGCTCACGTTCAAATTTGATTTTGAAGTCGTTTTGTGCGTTTCACCACGATTTTATATTTCGCGCAATCGTATATGAACTTTTGTCAGTACTGGAAGACGATTTTGAGCTAAATAAACCGACTTAATTTTCTTGCCAAAATTATCATTTTAGTAAGTTATAGCAGCAAATTGCAATATAATCTATATAATTCTATCGCCATTCACCCTCGCCTCTTGAATGCAAAGAAATGATAGCCGAAAAGGTTTAGAAAAGTATTTTTTATTATATCTGGTATAAAGTGCAGGGGTGGAAAATATAGCTAACCATGGGACCATTGGTCCCAGCAAATTTTTTATGCTGGCAGAAAGAAAAAAGGAAAGGAAGAAAAAGGGGGAAAGAAAGAAAAGAAGGGAAAGAAAGAAAAGAAGGAAAAGGAAAGAAAGAAAAACGAAGGAAAGAAAAAGAGAGAAAGAAAGAGTAACTGCACCAATAAGTAGCCATTTTGTTCAGGGACAGACACTAGGTGAAGAGGATGCCCCCAAAATAATTTACGAAAGAACTTTGATAGCGGAATGTAGCCTCATTTGCAGGCAACCTTGTTGTTAGGTGCGGCCACATTTGATATACGCATGAGTTTCCTCGACAATAGCGCAAAGTCCCACATGACTGAACGTGTTCCTAAGATTGAACGCTGTTCATCTGTTTATTCAAAACAATAAACAAATACTATTAATTTATACCAACCTTAGCTCTATGATATGATTATTCCTTGACCGATCTATTATCCGCGATTCCCGCCAAAACTCTCACGACTGTGTGCAATTCCCGCCAAAACTCTAACGACTGAGTCAGTGCTGGACTGATTCCGTGTGCCGTCGCTTGCAGGATGAACGGTCGCTCATAAAAACATTGCCTATTCGCGTGAGAATCTTCGATGTTTGTCAAGAGCACTTGACAGGTTTTAATCTGGTCAGCCAATCACGTTCAACCAGATCCAAGCTTTAAAACCATCAAATGATCATGATCATCACAAACATTGAACTTTCTGGGTAAAAACATTGAACTTTGTCATGAGAATAGACAATATTTTATCTGCGACCGTTCATCCTTAGTTGCAAGCGACGGTATTGAATGAGACCGCCTTTTACAAATCGCAGTCGGCGATTTGTAAAACATGGACTCAGTCCGCGTTTTCCCGATCCAGTCTATAGGCCGTGTTTTACAAATTCAGTCCGTGATTTATAAAACACGGACTTAGTCCACGTTTTGCCGGTCCAGTCCGTCTTTTGCAACATGCCCGCACGCACTGTCACACAATAATTTGAACATGCACCATTTAAAATGTATTCCGAAAATTTATTATTCAAACTCCTGCCCGGACTTACCAAAAACGCCACGCTTCTCAAAATAATATTAATTATAGAATTTACGGTTAGAGTATATCATGATACGCTTACATTCACCATTTTTATCTGCATGCTAACCTGCGATCAGGGCTATTTATACAAATCTTAACAAAAGTCCATGCCGTACAACCGTATTTCGGTTGTAAATCTGATTGGTCTATGAGACAAACGATTTTAATTAATCTGTCATTTAATTAGATTGTTGTTGTCGTTGTGTGAAATTTAAATTTCTCCTGCGACATTTTGATTGAATACTAAATATAAACATTGCTGTGTGTGGAAAGCGATCGGATTAAGGTTTGTGTCAGGCTATTATTTGTAAAATAGAGCCTGATACTCAGGTTACCTGCATGCTGGCATCCCTGTACGTCTAGCTATTTCCAAGCAACGACTCTAGCATTTTTCTTGTTCTAAACAGTTGAAAATTTAATAGGATTATAAGTCTAGACTATTATAAGTCTCGCCATCCCAAGACTTCTTTAGGATCGTCGGATTTCACAGAAAAAATCGTTCGGATTTCGGATCTGGCGAATATTTTACACGGATTTGCGGATCTTATTAATACAGCGGATTGCGGATTTATCTAATAATTTGGCTCCAATTGCGAATTTAGCTTGCAATAGACACTTCCCGAATTTGCTTGAGTGCACACGAAACAATAGCTTGGAATCGAGGCGGTCAATGTAATCATTGTAAATAACAAATGATTACATTGTCCGCCTCGATTCCAAGCTATTGTTTCGTGTGCACTCAAGCAAATTCGGGAAGTGTCTATTTAGTTCGGATCCTGGATTGTGACTTCATAGCAGAACTTTTAGTGGATTCAAATTTAGACAAGACCATTATCAGATCGCGGATTTGCTTCAAATTTGGGCGGATCGCCGGATTTGTATACCCCTATTCACAACCCCCTCGTAGCATAACTACCGAAGATGAAGTTAACAACTTTTATTATGGTCACGGTTGGTTTCTTGTTATCACATTTTAAATGGAAGGTACTGGATGCCAATCCATGTATAGTTGCACGCAAACACAGCTTCCATGAATTAGTACTTGATGTGGTTCCGGCTCATGAAGCTAATCTTCTCAGAAAGTCAGCTGGTTCTCCAGACAATATGGTGGAGTTGACAGAAGGCGTCGGGACTAAATGAGAATAAGAAACATGATGAAATTCTAATGCATCAACACATCTTTTTATCCATTGTATTTTATGTATCTAAAATGCAATTTTGATCGTCTTTAATAAAAAAATCTCACTCGTGCATGCATGGGATTTTCCAAATTGCACTCAAATTCGTACCCTTCTCTATCTATATATAGATAAAGAATCCAACAAACCTCAGCAGAAAAATAATAAATTAGCTACTTATGGCGGAGTAATACCGGCAACAAAATTCTGTACTTGTAGCAACAAAAGCTGAATTCAATGAATGCTAATTATTATAACACTGGACAGCTTCATCCTGAAGTTGCATGCAGCACCCAAGCGAACATGCGTAAACATTAATTTTTAGCTTGACTTGACATGAGTTCTTGTTGCAACAACTTTTGATTGTCATTCTATTTACCTTTATCTTGCGCAGCAATCGTTTTCTTTAACAACTCACCAATTTGGCAGAGATCTCCACTGAATCCCTTTGGACACTCACACCGGTAAGGATCAGAACCAGTTCCATCTTTGAGATAAATGATCGTCTTTCGCCCATTTTTACAATTCTTCATTTTATGACATGGAACCTGTGAAGCGAATATGTTAGAATTCCGCTCAGGGTAAAGTAAGAGAAACTCAGCCTGCATGCAAATTTAATTATTTAAAGATGATGTCCACTCCTGTGCGCATGCGCGAACTTTGTTTACGTTTGGAACTGCTATATTTATAAAATATGATATGCTATAACTGAGTATGCCTGTAAATGAATACGTTTCAATTCAAAAAAGTTCGAAAGATACAAATTTTGGGCAATGTTTATATCTGGGGGTCCCCCTTTGTTATGAGCAGAACTGATGCGTAGAACGGATGGAAATCATCTTTAAAACGAAATAACAGAATAACATCACAAGTTAACTATAATAATTGGTCCAGTATTTTTATAAATCGGAACAAGTTTTAATTGATAATATATACCACACCCGCGGATGTCCTTAAAATATAGCTAACATTTTTCATTAAAAATATTTTCGAAACAATACTCTATAGTACCAATAGTGTATCAAAAGTATATAATTTTCTCATGAATATAATCGAGTCCAAAGGACGAGTTCAAATTGGTCTCGAAACAATTCTATAGGCCGATTTTACACTACGTACACAACTTTTGTCTAAAACTGTTGCACGTAAATCAAGCATACAACTCGCCTACGTCGTCACTCGCATGCTGCATGTTTTGTTATACATGTACAGGTGTATAAAAAAAAACTGAACAGATTTGAAATTACTCTCAATTTCGCAAAACACCGATTTGTATCCGGCTTTTTATAGATATGGCTTCTTCGGGTACTTAGAATGTAGAATAATGAAAAAAATTTCTTGAACTCAAATATTGTGAACAGGGGGGGGGGGGTGTCTTTTCCAACAAAATAAAAATGGCTTGCGCACAAAATTTTAAAGCTGTAATCATATTTTGAGTTAATAGATGGAAAATTTGTCGGGTTTTTCATTACTGTACAAAATTTCAGACAATTTGGTTTAGTTTAAGCCGTTTAACTATTCACGCAAAGTTACATTTTTCCTAAAAATCAGTTATTTGCATGCTTAATTAATGCATTTCCTAATTTGCATATGTTAGCAATATGCAAATTAGGTAAATGCATTAATTAAGCATGCGAAAGGCTGATTTTTTAGAATAAAATGAATAGTTAAACGGCTTAAACTAAACTAAATTGTCTGAAATTTTGTACAGTAATTAAAAACCAAACAAAGTTTCCATCTATTAACTCAAAATATGATTAAAGCTTTTAAGTTTTGTGCGCGAGCCATTTTTAGTTTGTTGGAAAAGACACACCCCCCTGGTTCACCAAATTTGAGTTTGAGAATTTTTTTTCATTATTCTACATTATAAGTACCCAAAGAAGCTATATATATATAAAGCTGGATACAAATAGGTGTTTTGCGAAATTGAGAGCGATTTCAAATCTGTTCAATTTTTTTTTATACACCCTGTATAGCGACGAAAGAAAAACCAACAACATTCATACATGCAACAATAAATTATTGCAGTTATGACAAAAACTCTATAATGTAAACGAGTTTAAACTAAAAAAGCCTACTAAAACGATTTCAGCAGCTATAGCATATCCTGTTGCCTGTTGTTTATTTTGCTTCTCTTTTATACATTCTTTATTTTAATACAAACTTGGAAAAGAGTAGTTTCTAAACTTGCGAGTTCTGTGCAAGTATTTGCACGTAGCCAGTTCGGGTGGGCAACAACTTTTCACTTGCTGCCCGGTTGGATATATTACATTCACGTTTGGTGGCACCCTGGCCTAGCTGTATATAAACAATTACGGTATAGCTAATAGGAAAATTTGTGAAGATCGCAAAATTCTCATGCATTCTTTTCACTATAGCTGCTTGGGCACAAATAAGTTAATTCCGCTTGTATAAATAAGCTATTTAAGACTGCATGTGGGTATTGCTACCTAGGCATTGCTTACTAGGTATTAATAATTAGGTAATTCCGGCAAAGTTTATTAAGTTAGTTTTTATTTTACTGCTGTTTTGTACCTTTCTTGGAGCAACAGGATGATAAAATATCCAGCCTTTGTCATCAGCGTTGCAATCATGAAAGTTTTGATTCACTGTGCAGTTTGGAGTCTTCTTCTGGTGCTTTTTCTTAAAATTGTACCCAGCATAGAATGGATAATATTGGAAACACTTCATGGCACAATGATTCTGGAAATCATACGTCGCTTCAGACAAAATGTTATTTGTCAAATCGCAAGCATCTAACAACGCGAAAAGAATATTAATCAAGCAAAGAAAATCTTAACGTTTACAGGTAACTAAAATTGTTGCAAATATTTAAAAAAAAAATATATAGCTCTATGAATTGGAAGCAAGAATAAGACTTAAACTTACCTTTATACAGCAAGCAAAAAGGAATCGCAACCTCCGTGTTATCCTCAGGCATGCAGTATTCTTGTTCCATTGTAACTGCAAGTGGGAACAAGATCAGGAACAGAAATTGCACAGACATGAGCGCTGTTCGAAGAAAGCGTTTCATTTTGTTGTTATAAAAGAACAAAAACTCGGGTTAACCAATTTTTTTCTTGTTTTCTGGGCGTCGACTGCAAAACTGAACTAAGTGGCAAATTGTAGGACGACATGTACACGTTATATAGCTACATGCGACGCGCTATGGTACGATAATTCCCATGCAGTTATAGGCCATTAAATGTGTTTGCATTGCAAAACTGACTGTTTATTTGCATCTTAATAGACCTTTATAAAAAAGTTGACGTCAGCCGGCTTCTGACGTAGTTTGCGGAGGAAATCCCGAAAGCTCAGAGTTGTTTACTTGTTCTGAGTTTTTTAAAAGCCCAAAGAAGCCAGTATTATGGTAACTTTAAAGTAAATTTTTCTATATACCGGCCAAATTAATTTTTTATATTCGTCGTAGTTTAAAGTTTATTTGTTTTTATATTAGATTGTACATTATTTTACTGTCAACATATAGCAAATTGTTCGCTCGGTTTGTTTACATATTTCGTTGCTAAAAAGTATCATTTTTCTTTTTATTTCTCAAATTCATCAGTCTAATCATCAGAATGGTACATAACTTAGACTCTGAGTACATCTTGTACACAATGTCAATGTCAATGATTCGTAAGTGACTGATGTTAAGTCTATTATTTTTATCGATATAGTTGACAGAAAAGGACACACCCGGGTCAAAAATTGGCAAGGATATTGAAAAAGCTGCCAAAAATAACTTAAAATTTCGGCTGAAGTATAAATATTTAAAAATTAAATCTTCAGAAACGAAAGCGGAGCTGTTTACAAATACTATAGGGTTCTCTACGTACTATTTAAGAAACGAGCGGGAGTATTTTATTAGGTTTAAAGCCACGAGCGCGCAGCGCGAGTGGCTTTAGACCTAATAAAACACGACGCGCGAGTTTTTTAAATGACTTCAAAAACGTATGCATAATAAGTCAAATCTTTATATAAAAATCTTTATATAAAACTCTTTATATAAAAATCTTTATATAAAAACCTTTATATAGTTTGCATAACAATGGTCTTTTGTTAAAGTGTTCTTTAGCTGGTATAAAGACGTATGCACATGACTAATTTCTTACTCAAGATTGGATAATTGCTTCATGAATTATTAATGAGTTTTTGAATTCTGTATAAACATTTAGATCATTTTAAAACCTATAAAGTTTGCTTCAGAACAGCTTTATATAGTTGGGATAGGCAATACATTTTCAAGCAATGTACATTTTCAAAATATATAAAATCATTCTAAATTATCATGTTATGGAGTAAGACAAAACCTTGATAGAAAATTAAAGATTGTTGACCCAGACCCGGAAAGTGTTATACACGATTGATAAAAGCTACTTGTCGTGTATGTTCACTTCAACTATATCGATAAAAATAATAGACTTATGTCTAAGTTCACTTATGTACCTCTTTGCACGATCACTGATTGGGGCCATTCTGATTTAGACTGATGAATTTGAGAAACAAAAAAGAAAAATGATACTTTTTAGCAACGAAATATGTAAACAAACGAGCGAACAATTTGCTAAATGTTGACAGTAAAGTATTAAATGTACAACCTAATATAAAAACAAATATTTAACTACGACGAATATTAAAACTCATTTGGCCTATATATAGAAAAATTTACCTCAAACTTACCATAATACTGGCTTCTTTTGGCTTTAAAAAAACTCAAAACAAGTAAACAACTCCGAGCTTTCGGGATTTCCTCCGCAAACTACGTCACAAGCCTGCTGACGTCAACCTTTTTATAAAGGTCTATTGAATTGTGGCAAAGTATATGCATTAATAACTAGAAGTTACTGTCGCAAGGAAAGTGCTGCCTCACACCCAAGGAATCAAAGACAGCATGCGCAATTTGCTAAATATGGGGCTGTTTATATGAGCCCGCTTTGCCAGGACGAGATATGAGGCGGGATGATTTCAATGTATTGAAATAACTCACGGTCCACAATTCAGCAAAAAAAATTTTCAAGAGATAGATTATAGTTAACTGTAAACCTGTAAACGAAAGGTTGTTCAAGCAGCAATAATAATCTTCTTGAACTACAACAGATCTTCTCTACAATATTTCAGTTCTGTTAACAAGCATTTGAACTTTTGTTTAGCCTAACGACTTATTCAAATACATCAAAAATCATCCCACCTTCCACGAGCTCCATCATGTAAACAGCCCTAAGACGCCTATTGAGGAGGTAGGAAAAGTGCAATTTGAATATCAAACACCTTGCACAAGGTCAAAGGTCAGCTATATATTCTAATCGCATGGGCAATTTTATTTGCAGCTTCTTGCTTTTGTATTTACAACTTCTTGCTTTTGTATGTATAATTATAACACTGTCAGTGGTGAAGCTATGCGATAGCAGACTGATCTCAGCCGAACCCCCTGGAGCGGCGGAGAAACAGTCTGCGATCAATCAACACTAATGCTGTACAGTACGTAAGCAGCATTTTGCATAATTAATGTAAATTTATTCAAAAAATGATGGATTATTATACATAACAATGTATTTGTGCAATTTTCGGCGTGATCACAAAGGAAAATTTCAACCAATCATATTCCGCCCCACGTTTCGCTGGGGCAACTGTACGGCATTAGTGTTGGTTGATCGCAGACTGTTTCTCTGCCACTCCACGGGGGGTTGGCTCAGATCAGTCTGCTGGGATCAGTCTGCTATCTGCTATCGTATATCTGCCATCTGTGAGATTCTAATATACACTCTAATTTTTAAAATTGTGTTTAATTAACAGTTTACTCTACAATGAAGGGGTAATAATCTGAAAATGATTATTTTCTGTTACTCAAGTTTATGTTACATTTAGCACCAAGTATATTATTGTTGCTATTACCTTATGCACCAGTCAGTGGTTTGCCTCAGGGGGGTTATCTGGCTTACCCACAGGATTTGACATTTTGCTAAAATTTTTGGTCAATTTCACCAATATGGGGCAACCTGACGAAGTCAAACTCCCTGCGTAAATAATTTATAGAAACTGAAAGAAATTTTTTAAATAATAATAGTCAAATACACAAAAAATTATATTGAACGAACAACAGTATAAAATTACTCATATATGTATATTTAAACAGTTTTAACCCTGGTTTTATATTGTAGAAGAAAATGCTCTTTATTAGTCTTCTTGTTCTTTAATATAAAAACAAACTAATATATTTAATTCACCATTTTAAAAGATATTACTATTACCAAAAAGTGAAAAAGTATGTAGAAAAAATCTCCAGAAAAATTATGAACAAAAGAAAAATATGGTGCTGTTTCCTGCCAGAACTGCCACTGACCACACATTTTTAGACTTGATCCCAGGCCTCAAGATGAAAAATTCGAGATTAAACTTCTCAAATTCCCGACCCTCTGGATCATGTTATTGTCAAATTCCTGACCCAGGGAAGCAGGTAGCTATCAAATCCCATGGGTTTGCCCGACACCCCCCCCCCTGGGGCTAACCACTGACTGGTACATTAGCGGCTGTTTACATTAGCCCGGTTACCTGGACAGGTGACTTTACATGGGGAAATTTCAGCCCGGTTATCCGGGCATCCTGCTCGACTCAAGTGAGATCTCGGCTAGGCCGATTTCTGTTAAGGGATTTGCATTAAGCTTGGTGCCTAGGTTAGCAGGGCTCATGTAAACAGCCCTTAGTTATTAAGACTTGTTGGCAAAGAACACCCAAAAATGTAAAGAACACTTTAATTTGATTTTAGTTCCATAAATCCGTATTTTTTATCCATATTATTAATCCATATTTAATTTTATTTTAGTTCCATAAATCCATATATTTTAGTTTCATAAATTTGGGGTTAGATCCATAAATCTATGAAGATTCACACGTGTCCCACATGTACAAATGCCAACCAATGTAATGGCCAAGATGATAACAGGAAGCAGTTTTGCTTCTTCAAGGCCTTTGATCAAACAGAAAACCCATTTGGAGGTCTTCATGTTCCAATAAATTGCTTTCTGGACTACATCATCAAAGATGTATTTTTCAAAAACTTTTCAATTGTCACAATGGGCTTGACTGTTGGAAAAGATGTAATGAATTTCCATTGAAATTTGTACAAAATTTGTTTTTGAGGTTGTGCGTTTACTACAACTTGAAATTTGTTAATCATGAACTTCCCAACACCAGAAAAAAATTAAAGGTAGCACACCTAACCTTAACACCCTTAAAATATATCTTTTACACCAAAGTACATAAGAACTGAAATGTAAGATACAAGACTGGTGTTAAATCTAATGTTGATGGTAATCATATACACAGGTTAAACTACTATGATGTTGCTACACAGAGTAAATCTACACCAGGCAAGCTGAAAAATCAACTTGACTACAGTAAGAAGCCCACTGACTTTGCTCCATCAATTAATTGCTTGATATAGATGTGAAAAAATATCTTACTGTTTAATAATAAGCAATCAAAGTTATCAAAGTTACAAATTATAAACCAGTTCCGGTCAAAATGGATTCAACTCGCGTAGTTTACTGAGTTTAGTCCAAAACTTTTTTTTGTTAATTAAGAAAAGAAGCCCAAAGATATTTCCTTTCACTGATCAGGTATATAATTGTGTTTAGCAGTACGAATTATGATATTCACAGTATGAATATGCGCCTGAAATTTAAAAAATTCAACCTACTGCATTCTAAAAACAAGTCATGACGCATTTTTCTTCAAGCTAAGTCTAAGAATAGTTGCAATAATTTCAAGCTACACTCAGAAAATATTAACATAATGCATGTATATGCCCCAAATAGCACATACAGTAGGCAATAGCAATACGTTTAAAATTACAATTTTACCATTATTAAATAAGCTTTTATCATAATAAAATGAATAATCTACCTTTCTTTAGTACGGCCGAAAAATTTCAATAAAATCCACCATAAAATAACGACGACATAGTTATTTAAAGTTATGAAATACAAGTTTCGCCATATCAGTTTATATAAATGTTTTGGACCAGAGTTGGTTGCTTTCAACATGGCGGCCTAAGCGCCGGAATAACATGTGCAGGCACAAAAACTTCAAAGGTACCGACTCGAGTGAAGCTTCTGCCCTTTTCTCTTCTGTGTCTGGAGTAAGTTATTTTTTAAAATTTCTGTGACGTCAAAAAACGTCATAAATCTGATCATCCAAACAAACATTCGAACATTCGTCACTTGAAAATTGAGTTGTTGTTCGGCTATACATAACTCGGCCAACCGGAAACGGATTGCTGCGAGAAAAACACATCGTCAAGAATAGGTGGCTCCCTTCGGCAGCAATCAAATTGTTGGTCAGAGTTTCATCTGTTCACGGGCAGAAGGTTAGTCTTTTGGAAAAATTTACGCAAATCTAAAATTTTAAACAAGAGACCTTCTGCCGGCTGATAGTTTTAGCAAATATAAAATTACAGTTATTCCAAAAACGTATGCATAATTACAATACACGCATTAGTCGCAATTTTGTATTCTAATTATGCATGCAAACTTTGTATTCTAACTTCAATTTTGTATTCTAATTATGCATACAAACTTTCCTTCAAATAACTTAACCACGGATCATATCGAAGAGAAATCGTTGTATTCAATCCAATCAGTTTACTGATCAAAAGTCTTAATTATTACAGGCGTGTTTTTATTGCTTCCATGACGGAAAAGGAGCTAGACGAGTATAAGTTTTAGAAAACTAGGAAAAACGCAAGCATAATTAGACAATGCACTTAATTAACAAAATAGCTAAAATATACGTCTTCTTGAAACGTCATTGCTGCCATAGCAACGGGCACTTGCACTTTTTTATCATGTTGCCACAATTATTAGGTGCTGTCGTCGGACTTGTAGATTTGAGAGTCAATGACAAAATCATATTGAATTATATTGTATAATTGCGCTAATGCTATACTGTGAACAAGCTCCCTTAAACAATTTACTGCCAGGAATATTATTGGTATAACACAAACATGCAAAATGAAACTAAAAACATAAAATAATACTTATTTTGCTATACATATTTTCCATTGTTAACATCAGGAATCAAGTTAGCAATTCCATTCTATATATCGCTTAAATGAACTAAAACCTATTTCGTTATTGACTGGAATTTCAATCTATTTATATTTCCTAAAACTTGTATGCTTAATTGCTTTCTTGCACGTGCAGGCAGGCATCGTCGATGTGATTTTTGAGTTAAATTACTCTAAAGCTAAAATATCCGCCTTCTTGAAACGTCATTGCTGCCATAGCAACGGGAGTTGTTTAACTTTTGCAAAAAATTCAAACCATTTAGATGCTCTTTGGCATCAGCATGATACTTTGTGTTTTTAAAAAATACAGATCTAAATCGCAAATTTTCCTTTTTTTTCAGAACTGTGCTGAGCCACCTTACTGTTAATCCCCCCCCCCCCAAAAAAAAAATAATATTATGAATGCGATAAACTTCAACATGAAAGTGAGGCTCGCAAGTGACATCTGCACTCTGAAACACCAGGGGCCGGTTGTTCAAAGGTGAGTAGCGCAAACCCTCGGTTAAAATTTGACCTGCTGTTTTAATTGTGTATTTCTGCACGCCTGTTTATTTCAAAACTTCAGAGAAGTAAACTCCCATCGATTCAGACAAGATCTCTGAAGAAATATTTCCAAATTTATAGACATGCTGTCAGGAAGTTTGCTTTGAATTGTAGGTTAATCTATGGTTAAGCTAACCCAGTTTTGAACAACTGGCACAAAAATCTCATCTGAAATAAACCATAAAGGAACAAAACCAATTCATTCGTGCATGCAATTGTATACAGAGAGAACGTTGTTTCAAAACTCATGGGGATGAGGTTGCAACTGAAAAGGTATAAAGTGCATTACAAAATCTGGAATTTTTAAATGCAAAAACTTCCCAACTTTAATTCAGTAAAACTTTTTGTCAGAAAACTGCCCTTCAGAGACCGTTGGAAAATGCAATTTGTTTCCGGGGCTTATGCCTCCAGACCTTCTCGGTTGAGCCCTTCCCAATAAGTAACAATTTGCTTCAAACGGCGTTGGTCGTATCACACATCAACTGCAACGCAGTGTCAGTCGTGAGGCCCTGGGACCGAGGATGAAAGCACATATCATCTGCAGTTTGTACATTACAGAGGCGTAGCCAAGGCTGGGGACGGGGGGGGCGCCCCCCCTCCCCGGAAAAATTTGGCCCCCCTCCCGATAAAATGTATTGTATAAAAAAGGGAATCCTTGATTATATAGCTTCATGCTGTCAATAATGCAAAAATTCTGTAGAAAACATGCTTTGCTGCGCATCAGTGTGGAACCTAAAATCTTGATCGCTTATTTGCGGCACACAGCTTGAAACACATACCTTTTCTAACCCTAATAGGGGGTAATGTCCCCCCCCCTCCCCTATTGTTGAGACGCGTCGGAAAATTGTCAATGTTGTCGGAATCTACGTGGTGAAGCATCGGAAAAACTGCTACGGAAATGGGGAAAAGTGCTACCAAAAGAATTGTAATGTTATTGCCCGGAAAAGTTTTTTACCAAATAAATTGTCAACTGGGGGGAGATTTAAAATGTTGTTGTCCGGAAAATCTTTCCTTGGCCCCAATTGTAGCCTGCGTAAGGCTGTCTGAGGGTGAGGGACAGCCTGCAACCATCACCCCATGTTTTCGATTTTCGCCGGCCGAACCGCCGGCTAAATTCCCATTGGCTAGCGGGGCGATCGGTAATTAATTAACCTAGCCCGCGTGCAGGTCCAAGGGAACAGTGATTCATCACAAAGCATAGACAAAGGCTCTCGATAAGCTTAAAATTTGAAAATTGATCACTTTTTTCGATTACAAATGGAACAAGAACAGACTGTTTATTGTTTACTTGAAGGAAGGCATGTTTTCGCCGTTATGTCAATGGGGATTGCTTGTCGTGAGGTGTTGGAATAGCAAATTACGACTGGGGTAAACTATAGTAACCTTTACTTGAGTTTCATTAATTTCAAACAGACTTCAGTTGATACGTTATGTGTTCTCACTTCCTCAAGAAAATTATCTTTTGGTTGATGTTGAGATGCAGTTGAATGTAAGGACTGTAAGCCTATTCGAAACACTTTGCGATTTACAAGGCTTCGCTGAGAGAGCGAAACAGTATTAAATTGCCGTTCGAAACGAAACGATCTGGACTCGGAACGCTCTCTAGTTCTTTTGTAGAGTTCTTTACCAAATGAAATAACTGAAATAAATTTCGTACTTTCCGCCGCCAACAAGAATTGCACACACGATCTGATAAGTGAGACAATTTATTTATAACAATGCCAATGGCGACAGCGAAGCACACATAATATAAATCCTAATTTGGTCGCACGACTTCCCTCATGATTTGAAGTTTGAGACTGGTTTTTGTTGAAATTCGTCCTAATTTGCCTGTTCCGATTTTAGTTGAAAATGAGCACTTGCAATTTGGCAATTACTGACTGCGTTGCTTGCTTTTTTGGAGTTAAAACGCAGCCATTTACACATTGTTTATTAGTGTTCTTAATAAGCAGAGAAAACCCCGAAACCTTTTTATGCGAGTTTGTTTGTTAATATTTGGGTGCTGTCATTGGTTCCTTTTTGACAACTGACGCGCGAATGGGGCGTGTTATGAAAAGGGGCGTTTTACAAAATACCGGGTCTTGTTTGCAGGCCCACTATTAGTTCCCTTGGGCCTGCACGCAGGCTACCCCACTTGGGTTTTTTCTGGCCCTCCCTGACAAAAAATCCAGGCTGCGCCTCTGGTACATTACTGCTATTGCAGTAATTCAGTACCGAACTTGCTTTCATTATTAACTAAACAGGTCTAGGGTTTCCCAAAGACCGTTTCAGTTTCATATGTATGCCAACCTCGTATCCCGGGCTTCTGCACCTACAATCGTCCACAAAATATATTGAGACTTTTTAAATCAATCCCCTCCCCCCTTATTTCAATGTTAAAACCTACTGTACTTATCCAAAACGAACATAAGGTGAAACTAGAACCGCGACTGTGTCACTGGCAGTTGAAATGTAACATATGATGTTGAAATTAAACTATATTGTAGTGCCTAACAACATTGAAATCGGGAGAGGGGGTTTGTCTCAAATATTTTGTGGACGATTGTCTGAAAATTGGGGAAAATCGAGCACAGGTTTTGGCTATTTATTGCATAATATTTTCTTTGTCAGCGCTTATATTAATGTATACGAACAAAATTTGCATAACATATTTGGACTACATAGTATACATGCCGATATACAAGTATTATATTATGCGATAGTTTGTCCAAGTTAAGTTAAATCCATACCTTACAGGCATCTAACATTCCTTCGCAAGCTTGCCTTCGATTCGAAAAAATATATCGATAATGAATAACACGCAACCCATCACAAATCCAGATTTTTCTATTTTAAAGTACTATGTAAATTCGAGAACAACGCCAGCATGTACACAACCTCGTTCTCAAACTGGGAATTAGCCATTCGGGTTAGTTTAATTAATGTATATGCATGGGCTACCTGTTTTCGCTCCAAATTCAAATTTTAACAACGCGTTACCATACGTGTTACCACTTTTATCAAATAGTTATTATTGCTACAATAAGACTTCCGCAAAAAAGTTCATTTCTAACGGTTCAAAACTACAAGATCGATATGCAAGCAATGATTAACAACGCGTTACCATGAGTTTGGCACGCGTTACCACGCGTTACCATCTTTTATTACTCGCTGGGGCACCCTGTGCCCCGGGCGAGTATAGGTTTCGGCATCATGGATCGGCAATCTCCAATCTCCAATCGTCGATAGCCACAAAATAGAATATTAATGAGCTGCCTAATTTTCACCCAAATTATCCATAAGGCTCCTGCCAATTTTTACCCAAATTATCCATAAATAACCCTGCGTTTTGAGGAAAATTCGGGAATATTGAACAATTTTACAAGGAATTTTACCAAATTTGACATGGAAACAGCAACCTTCGCATGTTCGCATGTTGAATACGTTTAGCTGCGCTGATTTTGGGAAGAAAGCGATCTTTTCAACGATGTTTACGGTAAGTGAATGTGATTTAATTTCAAATACGCTCACCTCGCATGACTCTGCACCTATTCGTGGTAGACCTACACTAAAAGATGCTGAGCGATTTCGAACCGGGTCGATTATCCACGAATCCACAAATATCAATACCAGAGTTGCCAAAAATGTTATAGAAAAAGTTGCCAAAAATGTGACAAAAGTATTAAAATCAAAAGTACCACTGAAATCAAAAGTACCACTGAAATCAAAAGTACCACTGAAATCAAAAGTACCACTGAAATCAAAAGTACCACTGAAATCAAAAGTACCACTGAAATCAAAAGTACCACTGAAATGACGAATAATACACAGACAAATATACAAAAAACAAACGTAAACTCACAATCAAGTTGCTGCAACTGTATTTCTAAATTGAATAACCAGAATATTGAAATAACATGTCTGTCAAAACACAACCTAAAGAAACTCCCAGTACGATCACGACATGCATTATTTCATAATGTCTGGACACAAAAGCATGTTAGTGACGTTACTACCATTGGTTGCCATTTGCGTCATCGTGATCGTGAACCCAGTAGAATACAGGTGAAATGGTTAACAAGGAAGTTTGGAAAAACTCAATTGTTGAGAAAACGTCTCAGACATAAGATCAAAAGGTCTGTACCCAGATCCTCTCATTTTCATTATATAGTAGAGAATATTATGCATTGTCAAGACATTAGGATGAAGTTTATCCCTGATATTTACTGCCCAAAGAAGGTTCACAAGCTAGAAATACCGCACAAATCGTTCAGCAAAAAATTTAAAATTTTATATTTGTGAAGGAATTCTTGAAGATATATTCTATTTATCAGGTTCGACTCATGATTTATATGCACAACAGGTATACAAAAATGTCAACCACTTAAAGAATGTCTGTCAGTCAGCATTATGTACAGATATTGAGACGAATCCTCGACCCGTATTCTATATTGATCCCAGCAAGACAATCAGTGCACCATATAGCCAAGGTAATCAGGTTATATTTGGAGAAACCGCAGGACAACAGTGTTTAGCAATGTGTTTATGTGCCCTTATATGCAACAAAAAACAGAACATATGCTCACCACAAGACCTGGTTAATATAATGAATATTGGTAATGAACTATATTCAAACTTATCATGTTTAGCACGGCAATCATTTTTATTGTTTACAGAATTGCCTTCACAACTTACAGTATTTGACACAGATTATATTTTTGAGTACAGTGAGAGCTATAGTGGTAATGTAATTGGATACTGTTCTATTGAAGGGTATCAGTACTGTGTTCCATTTCACAGATCATTTGAATTGCTCCTGGCTGAAAACTATTCTGCATTCATTCTAACAATTGATAGAATGAATAGCATATTTTACACCAATGATGGCAAGTATAAAATTTTTGGACTCTCATTCAAGAGATATTTATGGCAGAAGTCATCCACAAGGTACATGTGTGTTGTTGGAAGCACCAAATATCAACAATGTAATTCAGTATTTCCAGTCTTTATACAGTGAAAATAGTCAATTTGAGGTAAGAGGAATAAATATTGAAGAAGTACAAGCCAATAGTGAGCAGAACTTAAACAACAAAATTAGAAATTCTGCCCTATTAGGTAATGCTTCAGAAGAATCTGAAAGTACTGACGTTTCTTGTTTATATAAACAATGCTGTGCAATTTCATTATACTCGATTTGTTATTCTGTCATTAAACCTTGTAATTACTGGGATTCAAATACAGTGGCCGCAGTTGTTTACTTTGGCACTACTTTGTATAACAACACTGGGATAAATACATCTCGTGATATACCACAAAAAGTTGAAATATGTGGAAATGAAATGCATGTAAAATTGCAAGCTAATATTCAAGGAGTAGTTTATGACAAGGCAAAAAGCAAACTACACATTGAAAGCCTTATTTGTCATACAAATGAAAATACAGGGTTTTTAATTTGGTTTGGAGATTATTGTATTTCTTGCATCTTTCAAAAAAACATCCATTAACAATATGTCGTACTCAATATTAGCATATGACGATGATGATAGCTCACCTACATGTACTGCACATTACATTAAAAATATAAAAGACAAGCACACTTTAGTTGATACTATCTTTAGCCTAGTAACCACCAAAATCGAGGATGAAATTGTCAATTATGAAATTCAATTTTTGTCTTGTTCTTCTGAATTGAGTAACTGTGAAAGAAAAAGGATTATGAAAAACCACAGGCAAAGCTATATAAATGACTTCATTGAACCAGCTCTGAAGAAACATAAGCTAGAAACAAAGCAGATGAAGTACAAAACAATGGCTCAGGAGAAAAAACAAAAAATATTGGAAAACAGAAAAACAAAATATGAAAAGTTAGATAAATCAAAGAAAGAAGAACAGCTTACCAAAAATATGAATTATAGAAAAACAATGAATAAGGGACAAAAGCAAAAAAACTGCAGAATAAAAGAACAAAATATAATGAAATGGATCAATCAAAAAAAGAGGAACTGCTTACTACAAATATGAATTATAGGGAAACAATGAGTAAAGAACAAAAGCAAAAAATACTGGAGAATAAAAGAATAAAATATGAAGAAATGGATCAATCAAGGAGAGAAGAACTGCTTACTAAAAATATTAATTATAGAAAAACAATGAGTAAAGAACAAAAGCGAAAAACACAAGAGAATAAAAGAGCTAAATATGAAGCAATGGATCAATCAAAGAAAGAGGAACTGCTTTCTAAAAATATGAATTATAAGGAAACAATAAGGAAAGAACAAAAACTATTAGAGAACACGAGAGCCAAATATCAAGAAGTGGATATATCAAAGAAAAAGGAGTTGAAAGAAAAACGGATGGAAAAGAAA